GTGCACAGGACGGCCCCCACCACAGAGAATGACTAGTGGGTGGAGACCAGGGATGCTGCTCAACACCCTACAGTGCATTGGACGGCCCCACCACAGAGAATGACTAGTGGGTGTACCTGGGATGCTGCTAGACACCCAACAGTGCACAGGATGGCCCCCACCACAGAGAATAACTAGTGGGTGGAGACCAAGGATGCTGCTCAACACTTACAGTGTACAGGACGGCCCCACCACAAAGAATGACTAGTGGGTGTACCTGGGATGGTGCTAGACACCCTACAGTGCACTGGACAGCCCCACCACAGAGGATGACCAGTGGGTGGAGACCAGGGATGCCGCTAGACACCCTACAGTGCACAGGACGGCCCCCACCACAGAGGATGACTAGTGGGTGGAGACCAGGGATGGTGCTAGACACCCTACACTGTACAGGACGGCCCACACCACCAAGAATGAGCCGGCCCCAAAGGTCACTAGTGCCAAGGTGAAACATCTGCTCCTGTCTTATCTCTAGGAGTACCCCAGCTCATGCTCAGGCCACCTGGGTCCCAGTGCCCCCAGGATGGACATTGTACTGTCTGATTGTCCACCAACTTGAGGTTACCTTAATCTCCAAAGCAAGCGTCACACGGGCTGGTGGCTGAGGGTCACCGTGGCCCCTAAGTGTGCTCAGGTGACAACTCAGACATTTGTGTCTGCCCTCCGCCCGTTAGTGTGTTATATTGTGGTGACTGCATGTTGCTGTGATGCTAGAAGCTGTGCCACCAGTACTTCATTCTAGTTATTCTCTGTGTCGACACGGGGTCTGCAACCCCCTCCGATGGCGGCAGCTGGCCTCTCGGGTCCTAGCGTCGCCCTTGGACATGTATGTTCCCTCCTGTGCTCTGTGCTTGGGTCGGTTTGTCAGGAGCTAAGAGGCTAGTCTGTCTTGAAGCTTCTCTGACCATTCTTGGACGCTGGGTGTCTGCTCGCACAGCCTGGGGGCAGAGCCAGCCCTCGCTGGGGCCGTCCTCACTGCTCCCTCCAACGCTGGAGCTGGCTCTGGCTCACTTCTTGTTTTTAAGCCTTGGGGGCGCCAGTCAGGCAGCTGGTTCCTGGCGCCCGCTGGAGTTCGCTCTTCAGCCCTTGCTGTTCAGAGGGAGCCTGGGATGCTGGCTCTGCCTGCCTCCACTCAGGTTCTCATCTGTAACCACACACTTGGGAGCTCTCAGACGGGATGGACACATCTTACACCAAGTAACATGCGAGCAGAATCCACAGTCCCCGGCAGGAATTCTCCAGGAGTTGCTAGATACTCGCACCCAGATGATGCCAGCCGCGACGCCTTTTTGCAGTTCTTCCAACGTTGCAGGCATGCTCTGTCCCAGGGCCTGTGCACAAGCTACTTCCTTCTACTGGAACCTTCTCCCGCAGATAACACTGAGCACATGCCTTCTGTGTACGAAACGGGGGCTCCACACGTTGTTGCTGTTTCCATCGAGTTGGCTCCGACTCATGGCAACTCCATGCACAACAGAAGGAAACGTTGCCCGGCCCTGCACCATCTTTATGATTGTTGGTATTCTCAAGTCCATTGTTGCAGCCACCGTGTACTTTGAGTGCCTTCCAACCTGGGGGCTGATCTTCTAGCACTCTAGCAGACAGTGTTCTCTTGTGATCCACAGGGTTTTCACTGGCTGATTCTCAGAAGTAAATCTCCAGGCTAGTTTTAGTCTGGAAGCTCCACTGAAAAACCTGTCCACATGGGTGACCCTGCTGGTATTTGAAATACCACTGGCATAGCTCCAGCATCACAGCAACATGCAGGCCACTGCAGTAGGACAAATTGACAGATGGGGAGTGGACACAGATGTTATCTCTTGAGAAAACCTCCCAGATCAGGCTCTTGAAAGGAGTGAGCCCTCTGCCCCGCCATTGTCTGTCTCTCTGCATTGTTCTTTCATACCACTGACCTCACATCACAGCATTTGTCTACATGCTTCTGCCAGTCTGTCTGTTCCTCACCCTTGGCAGTATTGGCATCTGGGACTGGATCATTCTTGGTGGTGGGGGCCATCCTGTGCACTGTAGGGTGTCAAGCAGCATCCCTGGTTTCCACCCACTAGTCATTCTCTGTGGTGGGGGCCGTCCTGTGTACTGCAGGGTGTCTAGCAGCATCCCTGGTCTCCACCCCTGAGTCATTCCCTGTGGTGGGGCCGTCCTGTGCACTGTAGGGTGTCAAGCAGCATCCCTGGTCTCCACCCACTAGTCATTCTCTGTGGTGGGGCCGTCCTGTGCACTGTAGGGTGTTTAACCGCATCCCTGGTCTCCACCCACTAGTCATCCTCTGTGGTGGGGGCCGTCCTGTGCACCGTAGGGTGTCTAACCGCATCCCTGGTCTCCACCCACTAGTCATTCTCTGTGGTGGGGCCGTCCTGTGCACCGTAGGGTGTCTAACAGCATCCCTGGTCTCCACTCACTAGTCACTGTCTGTGGTGGGGCCATCCTGTGCACTGTAGGGTGTCTAACAGCATCCCCGGTCTCCACTCACTAGTCATTCCCTATGGTGGGGCCATCCTGTGCACTGTAGGGTGTCTAGCAGCATCCCTGGTCTCCACTCACTAGTCATTCTCTGTGGTGGGACCGTCCTGTGCACCGTAGGGTGTCTAACAGCATCCCTGGTCTCCACTCACTAGTCATTCTCTGTGGTGGGGCTGTACCGTGCACTGTAGGGTGTTGAGCAGCATCCCTGGTCTCCACCCAGTAGATGCCAGGAGCGCCATCCCCTCCAAATTGTGACAACCAAAAATGTCTGCAGACAGTGCCAAATGCCCTGGGGGGCAAATGTGCACCAGTTGAGAACTCCTGTTCTAAAATGTTCTCTCCAGCTGGCAGGGACCTGGGTTGTTCAGTGCTGGCTCTCCAGCCCAGAGCAGCATATGGCACGTGGTAGCTCCTCGGTGTGTGTTGCACGAATGTCTGGGTTAACTGACTCTTTGAGAATTAGGAGGTTGTGCCCGATTTTGATCTGACTCATCTTTTTTGTGGTACATGGTTTGAGCCACCAGAGGAAGAGGCATAATGTCTTGAAAGTAAGACTTGTAATGTGAAATTAAAAATTACAAAACAAAAAAAACTCTCACCCGTAAGGTTGATAACTGTGAAAAGTGTCTTTAGAAGTCCAAGTGGCTTTGTTTCCTTCTTTCATTAGTGTTTTTGTTATTGGATTTTTTTTTTTTCATTTTATTTTTAGTAGATGAGAAAGGGAATTAAACTTCCTTTAATGATCAGAGAATTTAATGGGATCACCCTGAAATGTGGGCCTGCAAACTTTTCCTGTAAAGAGGCAGCATCGTGGGGCTATATGCTCTTGTGTCATAACTACTGAACTCTGCCGTTGTAGTGCGAAACCAGCCATAGGCAATATGTAAACAAAAGGACGTGACTGTGTTCTAATAAAACTTTATTTATAAAACCAAGTAGTGGGCCAGATTTCGCCCATGGGCCACAGTTTGCTAACGACCTCCACTCTACAGGTATCTGTGTGTTGTCTCTCAAGATAACAGGCTTTCCCTCTTTCTTTGCAGGTGTGTGTTTTAGATCTGCGGAAGTGAACACAAACTATGACAGAAAAGAGAATTCTAATGGACCAGCAGTGTGGGGTTGCTGCACTCTTCAAACACAATTCTATCAGCTCCAAAACTGTACAAACCTGACTTGCGTTAGAGTGTACTTTGAAATCAACTCGTCCCTGGCCACAGGAGTCTATATATTTTTCGTAACCTTCATCAAGAAGTTTCAAAAAAAGAAACAACCCACAGTCCTATAACGCGGAAAAGAATGGCATTTCCACCTGAGACGTTCATGCAGCCTGGGCAACACGAAGCCACCAGCTCGCGCACGCACGGTTTTGTTTCCATCGGGAACGGGCTCCGATGGCAGAAAGGAAAGAAAAGAAAACTGTGCCAAAAAAAAAAAGCAAAATGCTGTGATAAACCAAAAGGGGAGAAACAGAAATTCCTCCTCCTTGTGGTGGGTTTTTCTTTTCCCCCTTCCAATTTGGACACTACAGTTGCTCTTGCAAAGGACGTTCCAAACCCAGTTTGTACCGATGAAATGCGCAACTTTGTAATCCCAACACTTTCTATTTTCTAGAATCCTTTTTGGTTGAGTGGTTTTTCTATCAGTTGGAATCCTGTCGTCTGGGGGGCCCTTCAGTCTGGGATGGAGAAACTGTTTAGGGTTCATTGCCTCTGTCCTGTCGCCCCCCACCCCCGGCTGCCCTCCCCCACCTGTTTCTTTTGTCTTGTTTTCTAGTGTGCCCCAGGACACCCTCAGTAGATGCAGCCACATGGACGATGACAAAATCTTGGATGGACAGCTTTCTCTCCCCCTCCTCCATCTTGCCCGCCCCGCCCCTCCTCATCCATTCTTTTTGTCCCTTCGGTAGTTGCTTCAGATCTTAGCGTCTCGAGGGCACTTTCCACGTGTTACAAGTGCTTTATAAGAAGAATGCAGGGCAGGGGGACTTTTTTCAGCAAAAAAAAAAAAAAAAAGACTTATAAAGAGCCCAGAGTATTTTTGGGGGAAAAAAAAAATATTTTTATGTTGAAACAATTTTAAAATCCTAAAATGGCCATCAGACAGAGCTTTATGTGGTTCGTATTTTAAAAGCTTTTACAAAGACACAGGCAGGGTCTGAGGTAATTTTTCCCCCGTTTTCCTTCAGCTTCACAAAAGGCAGTTAGGAAAACTCTCGTTGGAAAGGGAGAGTTCCTATGGATTAGCAGCAGGATGGTTCTGCAGCCGACGAGAATTACAGATCCTTGGGTTCCAAGAGGGACATTGTCTCTGCTGGTGTGTGTTGACCGTCATGGTCAGCAGGAAAGAAATTAAGGATGACGTGCAGTCTGACCCTGAGGAACACTTCCGAAACCAGGCGATATTGAAGAAGCCATTGACATGGACAGGCGACTCAAGTTTCCCCCGTCAGCAACATCTTTCTCAGGCATTGTCACTGTTGTGGCCACCATTGGCTTGTCCATGCAAGGCTAACTTCAACAACCACAAGGTGTGATTTTGTCTCAGCACAAAAATAAACGGGGAAGGCAGGCCTTCGTCCTGCAGGGGAATCACAGAGGTAGAACGTCACTGATCATTCTTGCTGCATTTATAAATTCTTTTTCCTCTGGCAAGAGATGAGGAAAAAGGTTTTTCTTAAATAACGGATGATCTTTTTACTGGTGTTTGAAAAATTAAATTCGACTTTGTGTTTCGAGAGGAGTTTCCTTTCGTTGGATCGGGTGACCTGTCATAACACAGCACTGACCTGGTTTTTAAGCTAGCAGTGGGGAAAGAAAGTTCTGGAAGGTAGAGCCTCTTCTCTCCCACGGGCATAGGAAAGGCTGGGTGGGTGGCCAGGCCAGTGGGGGCTGGTGGTGGGCGGGTGTCAGCAGGGTATGTGTTCCAGCAACAAGATAACGGTGATAATCAGAGGGCAGTGGCCGTCCCTGGAGCCAGAAACCAGTCGTCAGGGTAGGAAAAGAGCTTCCAGTAGAACCTGGAGTGAACTGGAACCAGCTACAGTTGCCAGGGTGGATTGGTGGGTCTCAGGTAATTAACTGGCCTCCGCTTGGCTGTTTAAATTATTCAGGCCCCATCTGTAGAAAGCCAGGAAGTGCTCTGCTTGCAAGCTGAGTGTTCTGTTGTTCAGGGTCTGTTTACCTAACCACTTACCCCAGAAGGCTGATCTCATCAGGAGTCAACACTCCCCTCTTTGAGGATAGCAGGGACCCCCAGGCGAGGACGATGGGATTCTGGATTCGGTGCGGGATGCAGTCTGTGGGGGCCTGGACGAGCCCCGTCTTCACACCTCCCCGAATACAGATGTGCTCACCCCAACAAGAGTATCAGCTGTGGAACATGGCCCGTTGTCAGGACGTGGTTTGTGCTGTCGGACCATGATGGCAAATGTGTGCTGAGGGAGTTGTGAGACAATCTTCACACGAATGTAGGCAGCCGGGGTCTCGCCCAAGTGTTGACTTGAGCGTCTTGATACATCCAGCCATGTTCAGAATCCTTACGTTGGCCCTGAGGGCTGCGAGGCTTGGGGCAGGGGCTCAATCTCTCGTCACAGCAGTGCGCCCCCTACAGGCAAAGGAGAACCATGTCCACAGAGCTGGCTTCCCCCGCTGCCGTCTGAGATGAGCTTGCCTGCTGTAGGCCACAAGGGGGACCAAGCACAGGAATGTGGCCAGCCAGCACCCCACAGAGCCAACCCCACTCGGTCCACCGCTGTTTACCGAGTGCCCACATCTGCACGCCCGCGTCCACCTGCCGCCAGAAGCCAGTAGCTTCATCTTTGTGGTCCAGGGGTAGCCCATCTGTCCTGTCATTGTTTGACTTTATTTACAGTCCTGACAAACTGTCCTGCTTCATTAGTGACCAAATCAGACGCCGATTCCGAAAGCAGCCCCAACACGACCAATCTGCAGTGAGTCGTCAGTTGGGTTTGAAGTGAGTAGAGCCATGCGTAGCACACACCCAGGAAAGGACGCTGCCCCACGGGGGACCCGCAGGGCCGGTGGCACAAAGCGACCCCCACTTGAACCCGCGAGACGCCGCCGGCCTGGACCTTTGTGGAAACCAGATCACAGAGCCAAGTGACGTGCACTTTTGTCAGGTGGAAGGGTCTGCTTTGTTCCCCGTCGCTTCTCTTTTTAAACCTCGTTTTGCCTCTTTTTTTTCCGTTGTGTTTCTTGTCGAATGCAGAACTGTTCTGTCCGCCACTCACTGAAGTTTTGAATTCTGGCTTCTGCGGTTTTTATTGTCTGTGTCAGACGTGCAGCCAGGCCTGGTTCTCCTCAGCCTTTTCTAGATTCTGTTGAGTCCACGCCCACCCCCCCTTGGTTCGCCCTCCCGCCCACTCACCCTCACACTCTCTGAATCACCTCCTGTGCCGTAGCCCATGTGTTTCCAGAGAGAATCAACCGATCATATTCAGTGTCTTGAATAAATTGCTCTATTTTGATATGAGAAAACTCTGTGGGTCTGCTTTCTTCGACTGTGCGGGAACGCGTGCGCCCACGTGGACGCCCAGGAGTGAAGGCAGAGCTCTGCGTGTTCTCAACAAGAAAACGATTTGAGTGCCTCTCTCCAGGGCTGCTGAGTTAAACACGGAAGAGGGAACAGAATACCGTGATTTGTTACAACAGCAGCCCCTGGCTCTTACAAAAGGTAATACATAAAAGGTACTAATAATATCAAGGAAGCTCTGAAAAGTGTGTTTCCTTTTCATTTATTTCAAGCTGGCTCTTTTAACAATTTAAAGCAAGTGAACTTTGTCTTGGTTTCTCAGAGTTTGAGTTCAAGGCTTAGCTTTGAGTCATTTGAAGAATGCAAAGTTAACAGAAATCATTGTCTTTCGACATTGGCCTCCGCCATGTGCAGGCTAACAGCAAGCAAATATTGACTGATACATATGTGCAGACGCTGCTCTTCAGGTCCCTTGAATTAAGTGAATGGGGTCCCTGGGTGGTGCAACTGTTAATGAGCTCAGCTGCTAACTGAAAGGCTGGAGGTTTGAGGCAGCTTGAAGGAAAGGCCTGGTGATCTGTTTGTGAAAAATCGCCATTGAAAACCCTGTGGAGCACAGGTCTACTCTGACATGCATGGGGTCGCCATGAGTCAGAATTGACAACAAGTGGCCTGTTTTGTTGTATTGCATAAGTAATTAACGGGCCTCGCTGTCCTGTTGACGGTGGAGGCAGTGGGTTCAGAGAGGCCAGGAGACAGACGTTCAGCAGAGGCCCTTGCTCGGGGTCCAGGATCTCTCCGCACTAGGGAGTCCCAGAGAGTCACGGTCATTTCTTTCTAGTCCTTCCTGGTTCCTGCACCACAATGAAGCGGAGGGAGAGCCTTGTGGCATGTACAAGCAGGCAGGCAGGCAGTGGCCGCAGTGTAAACGCACACATGGCCGTGGTCACAGATGGTGCCCTGGCTTCAGCAGCCATGCTGGAGACTTCAACAGCAGCAGTTGGGTTTCTCTGCAGTGCAGAACGAGCGGGCCTGGGACCACGTGATTGCCCACACCTGTAGAGCTTTTGTCGTCTTTACCGCAGTGATTCCATAAATGTTCTGTTGAGACTCCAACTTGATTTCTTTGTATTTTGGGGACCTAAGCTTCAACGTGGTGGCACTGCTCCTGGAAAGATTGTTGTGAGTCATCGGGTCAGTTTCGACTTAGGGCAACTCTATATGACACAGTAGAATTGCCCTATAAGGTTTCCTGGGCTGTTGTCAGGTCTTTTCTCCCTCGGAGCTGCTGGGTGGATTCAAACCAATAACCTTTCAGTTTGCAGCCAAGCCCTTAACCATTGTGCCCCCACGGCTCCTATCTGTAAAGATTATAGCCTAGAAAACCCTATGGGGCAGTTCTCTGACTCCATGGTAACAGGTAAGTGCTAACTGTGGATTACTGCTGATGGGAACCTGGCTGTCCCTTTTGAGAAATGGGTGAAAAACAGGTAGGAGCAGGAGAGAAACAGAAGGAGAAACTTGGTTCTCTTAGGCTTCACAAAAAACAGCATTTGGCTGCCTGTGTGGGCCTTTTTCTTGGAAGTGTCTTGCC